TCCATGCCGCCCTCGTACACCTTCACGTCCCCGAGCTTCTTCAGGTAAGCCCGATCTTTGGCCGGCATGGCCTGGGCCAGCACATCATGGCCGAGGACGGCATCGTCAAACACACCCCCGCCGACGGGGTATTCCACCACCTTCTGGTAGGTGGCAGCGGCGATCTCCTTGCCAGCCCTCCTCGTCCGTGGCTCCTGGACGATAGGGAGCGATTGGGCGGCATCACCTGGAGCAGCAGTAAGGTCCACGATGGGACCACTATCGTCCACGCTCGGGACAGTCAGAGTACCGGCCTCGGTAGCCGGGGAAGGAGACGGTGCCCTCTTCGTCTTCTTGGAGACGTTCAGGCCGGCTTCAGTCAATTTTTTCTGGCCGTCAGTGACCGGCCTCTTCTTCTTCGATTGGGCAGGCTTTGGGGCCGCACCAGCAGTAGCCCCGCTCCCCTCAGCCGCGGCACGTCTGGCCGCCTCGACCGCCTTAGCAGCCAACTCCTCGGCCGCTTTGGCCTTAGCAATAGCCATTATGGAACGACGATCCATGACGAAATCTACAAAGGAAAAACAACAGATTAGCAAGGCAAAAGAACAAATCATAAAGACAGAAAGCCGAAGAAATAATTACCATCGGCCTCAGCAGGAATGCCCAAGTCCGGGCCGTCGGCCTCTTCGAAGGTGGTGGTCATCCTCGGCCAGAGTTGGATGTCATCCTCCTTATCGCCATACACATGGTATCTAAAGAAGCCGAGGGCGGTCATCTTGTATTCAGTAATGTAATCCTTCACGCTCCTCGGCCCCCCTTCCAGGAAAGCCTCCACCTGAGCGTCCAAGATAGAGCTCTTCGGCGGGTCATGGAGATTGAACCTCCTGGTATGGCCGAGAGAGGGAAACTCGGTGCCACTCTCACCCAGGGATACAAAAACGAACTTGCTCTTCCACCCATGAATGGACGAAGGCAAGTCCGTGAAGCTCCTCTTCTTCGGCAGCTGTTGAAGAGTAGCATAGGCCGCACAGTTCTTGTGGCTTCCTCGGCCGATCTGGTACAGATTCATGAATAGGGCCGTCGTCGGCCTATAGCCCAGCTCCTCACAACGGAGCAGAAACCCCACCATCAACGAATAGCTGTTCGGCGTCAGCAAGGCCGGAGGGAGCCCCACCATGTCAAGGTATTCAGAGATGAAGGGATGAAGGGGAAACCTCAACCCCTTAGCGAAACTCATCGGGTATACTCCAAAGTATCCCGGTGGCGGAAGAAGAACATGGTCCGTCGGCCTGGGTGCCCTAACCCGCCCGAACGGCCCCACGTACATCTGGGCAACAAGGTAGTCGGCCGCGCTGCTCTCCGGCTTAATCAGGAAGATGTTGGTGAGATCCAGGTAGGAGAGGCCCGACCCACTCTTCGGCCTCCTCACCCTCTTCGGCTTATCTGCTCCCTTCACGGCAGACACCGGCCTCGGGCAGGGAATGACAGCGGAAGTGGACGCCCCGTCCACCACTCGGGACGCACCTGCAACCTCACCTTTTGAAGACGAGGCGAACTCCTCGTCCTCGACTTCGTCGTCCACCGACTCTTCGGATTTGTAAGGACTCAAGTGTTGTATCTCCTCCTCGAACTCCTCGAGCACCTCATAGTCAAGTGACCTCGTGGAGGGCTGGTCGTCGTAGGGATAGTAGTCTTCGTTCAAGCTCTTCATCATAACTACTACTACGAGCCTAAGGAGATTAACTTAGGATCTAAGGGTGTTCAAACGCCTAACACTAGATCACTAGCCTAGGAAGCAAAGTATGAAAAGTGAGGAAGATTGCGATGAACACTAACCTTGAACACGAAGAACACGAAGAACAAGCTTGAGAGTTTATCTCTCTAGAAAATTGGCCAGCACTTCGACAATTCAGAATGCAAATACGTTTTCTCGTCGGAGGGGGAGGGGTATTTATAGAACCCCCACCCAACGGTCACTACACGTGGCACCCTCCCAATGGCCACATCAGCGGCCACCAATGGGAGGCCACCACGTCACCAACGGGCCAAACTACATGTCAACAGCCCACTGACAAAACAGACTCTACGGCCTATACACGTGCCGGCTTCGCGAGTGCCAGCAAGCGCCCACAACGTCCTACTTGCTCGCCAGCGCCCACAACGTCCTACTTGCTCGCCAAGATCACAAATGCCAAACAATGACGGGATGTCAACTTCTAGGAACGTAATGAACGCCCGTAACGGCCACAGAACAAAAGGAACGAAGAGCCCACAACCATCGGCCCTCGTAATGACCCTTGATGATAACTCTCTACAAGCGATCTGCGCACAAGGGTTCTCCCACAGGGTTACCTTGGCCAGAAAATCGCCATGAGGGTTGGATTCAGGGGGACTACGGAGAGGCCGCTTTGGCCAGGGACTCAAGCAACTCCTTCACCCCTCACACTCTTCGGCTTGAAGCAGTGAGGGACTGGGGGACTACATCGGCCTCAACAAAACAGAAAGGAACAATACAAAGAACATGAACGTAACCACAAAGCATGGCCACATCGTCCACGCATCACAACGGCTCCTCATCGTTCAGAGGCACATAACATCATCAACAACGGCCAACAAGCCACTTAAGGCAAGGACACTCATCGTCCTCCGCCAACAGTTAATCATGATGGGCTCTTCGACCAAGAACACGAAGGCCAACCAGCGACGGCCAAAAGGAGTGTGCAAACACCCTCACCGGCCACCCAAAGGAAAGGACGCCATCGTCCTCAAAAGCAAGGTTCAACCTCAGTGGCCTCATCGGCCCAAACATAAACTTCAACCATCAACGTCCAGGAAAGGGAAAGCGTGCCTTCAACGGCCACCATTGAAGCAGGACACTTGTCGTCCCCAAACGAACACATCAAGGAAACAACGGCCTCCCCGCCCACAGCAAGGAGCAGATAACGGCCAAGGCACAGAACAGGATCACCAAAATGGAAACAGCACCAACGCCGCAGCAGCTGACGGCCTGGGAATGCCCGCATCGGCCAAAAGCACTAAAGCACGGGAATCTACTCTCCTTCACTTCGTCTACGTCTCAGCTTAGAGAGCGGGGGACTCCTGATGGAGTATATGGGTCTGAGCCCCCGGACCCACATACTCGGAAGAACAGAAAGCACAAGACACAGAGTGGCGCCCTCGTCGGCCAAGACGCCCCCGTCGGCCGAAAAGGGGCCAACTCAGATTATGGTCCTGAGCCCGAGGAACCCGGGTGCCCTCGTCGGCCACGCCCTCGTCGGCCACGAAGACCTCCCAGAACCGGATTTTACACTTACTCATTTGTATAGCCCATTAGTGGCTTTGTATTCGGCCCAGTAGCGGTCCAGTTGTAAATGGGCCTCCCAAGCCCAAGGCTTGGGAGCCCAGTCCGTATTTTCTCTATAAATACTCCCCTTGGGAGTAGTTATAGGGGTTACAAATTCATTCTATTGAAGCATATTATTGCACTTTTCTCTCTAGCTCTCACTTCTCTCTAGATATACTCTATCACTGGGATTTTTACGATTCTAGCCAAACCCGACCTAACTCGGCTCGATCCCATCCCTAATTAAAGGACCTGAAGTTATATCAAAATTATTATTCATGAATTCTAGACACTATATTACCTAGCAATCCCTTCACAAATTGTGATTCAAAGAATCGTTTTGATATGTACCAGAACCACATGAATTGAAAAGAATATAGTACCGAACCATTCGAGACCGATTTTCTTATATAATATGGTACGATATCTACTATTAATTGAGAACCATTCCAGAACCGTATTGAACCGAACTGTATCTACAAAATTTTATTAATTCACATAAAATTAGTATATTGTGTTTTATAAGCATACCCTATTTTTTACTTTTTTTCTTCAACTGAAATTACAATCGAATTTATTTTTTTGTAATATTTTTATATTTATACATTTTTTTGTAATATATTTTATATATTCACACTTTTTCTATAGTATATTTCTCATCTCTTTTATATGTTTATAGTGTTGTTAAAACATTAAGTTTATTTATTTCAATTTAAATTTGATAAAAGGTGAGAATACATTTTCATATGTGTGGTTTATATTTTCATATGTGTGAGTTATGTTTTTTTGGAAAAATGTGCGAGTTATGTTTATAGATAATTTCTGAAGTTACATTTGATAGTATATATAGTTACATCTTCTTATGTACGATTTGCATCTTCTAGTGCGCAAGTTACATCTTTTTATGCGTGCGTTGCATCTTTTTATACGCAAGTTACATTTGAACTTGCCTAGTTGCCTCAACAAGTTACTTTTTTGTAAGTTATTTTTTTAATTAACACGAGTTACATTTGCCATAACACGAGTTACATCATACAATAAAATCATGTTATTGAAATTAAAAAAAAATGATTTTTAAAATTCTTTTTAAATCATTTTAAAAATCATTTTTATAAAAGTAGTTTTTAAATCATTTTCTTGAAAGGAAAAAACTATATTAATTTTTTTATAGTCATGAATTAAAAAACGATTTAAAATTATTTTTTGCAATCATGAATTAAAAAAAGGTATTTAAAAACATTTTAAAAATCAGTCTTATGGTCATGATATTAAGAAAACAATATTCACTATTTATGTAAAGTAATTGAGCAGTTAGACTTTTTTTTCATTGTTTACGGTGAAATCAAAATTTTACTTCTTATACTCCGTATTAGACAATCTGCATTTTAAAATGCGTGTAGTTACATTTCTTATTTGCGTGAGATGGTGAGTTACTGACTTACGGAGACAAAAAAAGTTATTATCACTCCGTCCTGAAAAGGTTCACCAAATTAACTTTTATTGATCAAATAACTTTGAGTAATGATATTTTTTAATACTAAATTATTTTGAAAATGAGAACAATATTAAAAGTATTAAATTTAAAAATTATATTTAAATATAATAATTATTATTGATCCTCTTCCCACGGACGGTATAATAACAATTGCTTATGTTAACATTTGTGACTGCTACCCGGCTTGTTTACATTTGCACGCCTCTACTGCACGAGTTGTCCCGTCGGACGGCCGGAGCTCCTATTCCACCGTATAAGTAAAATAACACTCGTTTTTGACTGATCAAGATCGAAGAACTTTTACCTTCGTGTCAGCTTATTTCTTTCTTTTGCCTTTTTAAAAATTTAAAAACCCTAGTTGAAAGCAATGAAGGAACGGCGAAAGCTGCCCAGCTCCAGAAAGGAGGAACATTGATGCAACTTTTGAACTTCCCAATTATTCCCTGAGTGTATCAATAATTGTCCACCGGGGTAAGTTGATCGCCACCCTCCACCCAAATACAAACCACGGTCTTGCTCTAATTTCTTTTTCTTTCTGCTCAGAATATTTGAGCCTGTCTTATTGTGCTTGGATTAACCAAATCATTGTAAGTTCATATGTCAGATTATTTTTTTAATTTCGTGTCTTCCCTAAACACTGGGGAATAGACAATGTTGGGGGCCAACTCGAGTTTTATTTATTTTCCAGGGCCAAATTAATTTCTATGCATATAACAATTTTTTTTTCTGGGGGAGCCATGGCCCCTTGATCCTCTACAAAGATCCGCCATTTTCCCGGAAATACGGTGTGTTGTAGATTTTAGTCGTGCTTCTACAATATGCATCAGCTAGTGAACCAGCTAGATTTAACTGTTAGGAATTTGGAAAGAATTAAGCCATGGGCAGGAAAATGTTTAGTGGATGTTATGAATTTGACAAAAATACCCTTTAAGGTGTGAGGCTACTGTGACTCATTCTGTTGATGCCTGATTGTGGCATACATTAATGAATTCACACGATAGGACAAAGGGTTATGATTGCTAATGTGTTATGCAAATTTGTTTGGGGAAAAAGAAATATTTGAGATCCCAACTAGCTTGAAATAAAGATTTTCTCTTATTTCAATAGAATTTCTATTGATATGTTGAATTAGAGTATGTTGCAAATGTTTCAGCATATAGTTGTTCATATCAACATCTCAATGTGTATGGTTACATTTTATTCTCATTCGGACTCTAATTTATTCTGCATTATGAATTTTATTAGTTCATGTCTTTTAATTTTTAAAAATGTTTTCCTTTTATTGTGCAATATAGTTCCTGCCGTTAATAATGCAAGAAACTCAGTTTAATGTTTGTGAAAATGTCGTCCTTAACTGCGAAACATGTTGCAAATGTGGTGTTCGTTAATTGTACAACATGTTGTAAACGTAGTCTTTGCCGTATATAATGTAGAAACAAAATTTGTTAAATTATTAATAATAAAGGTTACATTTCAAAATGTTACACAATTAAGGGGCGGCATTTACAGAAAAAATGTGGAATAAATGAGGGGCCAAATGTGCGATTTCACTTTAATGTTTATGTGTATTAGGAACAATTATATTAAAAAATTGCCCTCTTGTGTATGTATACATTTAGGGTTTGCTATTGATCGGGATTGTTTTTGTCACACTTTTAGTTCCAGTTTGATCGACATTTTTTTGCTATTAGCTTTACCCAGCAGTTTTTTGTTACCGATCACAAACTTTGTTCATTGCAGTAGTTGATAATGAAGAAAAGTAGAGCAATATTTTTTTTGGTTAAATTGCTGAAATTGATGAAAGTGGCAGATCATTCTTCATTTTATGATATATTCCTTTAATTTAATTAAAAAACATTTAAAAATAATTTAGAAGTTTCAGCCGAACCAGTCACAATTTCAGCTGATTCAATCATTTGAGGCCGTACTAAACCGGATATTACAGTTTGGCGCCATTTGGCTTATTTTATCAGGTATATGTCTAGATGGCAAAGAGTTGGGATGAGGCTCATGAGCTTGGTAGTGAATCAGATGATAGCTACGATTTGGAGAGACTACACATAGAACCCATATATGATTCTTTCATATGCCCCCTAACAAAGCAAGTGATGCGTGATCCTGTAAGCCTTGAAAACGGGCAAACATTCGAGAGGGAAGCAATCGAGAGATGGTTCAAAGTGTGTAAAGATAACGGGAGAAATCCAGTTTGCCCTTTAACCCAAAGTGAGTTAAGAAGCTTAGACCTTAACCCAAGCATAGCTTTGAGGAACACAATTGAAGAATGGAATGCAAGGAACAAGGCCACTCAGCTTGATACTGCCAAAAGATTACTGTCTGTGGGAAGCAGAGAGAGTGAGATTCTTAGAGCACTTCGGTTTCTCAAGATTTACTGTCAGAAAATTCGGTCCAATAGGATTGTGATTCGGGATACCGGGCTTATACCAATGGTTATTGACATGCTAAGAAGCAGCAGCCGTTTGGTTAGGTGTGAGGCTTTGGAAACCCTTAGACTTGTGGTCGAGGATGATGCTGATAGTAAGGTCGTCAAAATTCAAATGTTAATCCCCTTTAAAATGGATTAATAAATACTACCTCCATCCCAAATAAAGGTTCCCGTCCCCTATTCTCTGATCAACATAAGTTGTTCTTCATCATTTACTTTATATATCCAATTTTTATCAAATTTGAGTTTTTTTGTGACTTTATAAAACATTTAATATAGTTTTTGAATATGTAAATTTTATTTACTAAAAATAATCTTATTACTGACAGGATCATTTAACTTCATGGTCAGTCAAACATCGTAAACCGTGTGGGAACCTTTATCCGGGACAGAGGGAGTGTGTCTTTTTTTTTACTCTTAGCCTCTACAAATATAGTTTTGTATTTAGATCCCTGTAGTTTTTATATTTTATTCATCACTGTAGTTCATCACACTTTAATCTTAATCCCTGTCAATTAACTCGAGGATGATGCTGATAGTAAGGTCGTCAAAATTCAAATGTTAATCCCCTTTAAAATGGATTAATAAATACTACCTCCATCCCAAATAAAGGTTCCCGTCCCCTATTCTCTGATCAACATAAGTTGTTCTTCATCATTTACTTTATATATCCAATTTTTATCAAATTTGAGTTTTTTTGTGACTTTATAAAACATTTAATATAGTTTTTGAATATGTAAATTTTATTTACTAAAAATAATCTTATTACTGACAGGGATCATTTAACTTCATGGTCAGTCAAACATCGTAAACCGTGTGGGAACCTTTATCCGGGACAGAGGGAGCGTGTCTTTTTTTTTTACTCTTAGCCTCTACAAATATAGTTTTGTATTTAGATCCCTGTAGTTTTTATATTTTATTCATCACTGTAGTTCATCACACTTTATTCTTAATCCCTGTCAATTAACTCGTAGACTCAACCCTGGACATTCCAGGCAAGTCTTTTGAAATGTCTAAATATGCTTTTTGCCCTTGCTTATATATAATGTGGGAAGCCCAAACTGGAGTACTTCCCTTGGAAAACGCTTTTATAATATTCACAGGGATGAAAACATAATCAAGCCTTTTTAATTATGTGGAAATCCCGGTCTGTAGTTCTGTGAGCCACACTAATTTTCATTTTCTAAACGAGGTTGACGCGGATGGATTAAAAAATAAAAAGTGGTAACCTAGAAAGATGAAAAACAAAAGTTTTTTAGTTGCTTTTTTCAAACAATGACCTACAACAAAAGAAAAAGAACATGATGTTGTTCCAGTGATTTACATTGATTAATTTTGTAGTTTTCAGGAAATATTGGCGGAGGGTGATACGGTGCGCACAATAGTGAAATTCTTATCACATGAAGAATCAAAAGACAGAGAGGAAGCTGCATCTTTGTTATTTGAGCTATCAAAATCTGAGACTTTATGTGAAAAGGTTGGGTTGGTCAACGGAGCAGTTCTTATCCTAGTTGGGTTGGCAAGTAGTAAATCGGAGAATCTTTTGACAGTTGAGAAAGCAGAGAAAACACTGGATAATCTTGGCAAGTGTGAACGTAATGTGATGCAAATGGCAGAGAATGGTAGATTACAATCTCTATTGACTGTGCTTCTAGAAGGTGATGCCCCCTATATCTTAATTTGTTCAAATGTTCAATACATGGATGATTGGATGGGATCCATCCAAAAGGAATAAATAATACATTCAAATCTTATCCCTTTGGTACATGTTTCTTTCTTTTCAAGTTTACAATCAACCAATCGAACTTTTAAACAAACCCAACACCATCATTCTAGAACTGGAGTGTGAGTCCTCCCAACCTCTCTCTTATGTAGTTGGTTAGTTGGTGATATGTGAGGAAATTCTGATACGGTGAGATCTCACCATGCTGTCCGGGCTAGATAATGTGGATAATAAGTAGTCTCAGATTAAATTTCTAATTTATTTGATATACAAAACTAACATTGGAGAAGCCAAAAATCAACATACCTACCTCGTGTATTATATCTGGAATAAGCCAGTCTCAAGTTCTCAACTGTTAAAACCTATATGCATGCAATAACGTTAGGGACTCTATCTCTTGTTATTATATGATAATAATGGTGATAATGATGATGATGACATGATGATGATTGTGATGATGATGATTGTGGTGATGGTAACATGTGGGGGTAAATTGTCTCTGGGTGAAATAATTTCCTCTATTTAATTTCAGGATCAACGGAAACAAAGCTTTCAATGGCTGCATTTCTGGGTGAGCTGGTGCTTGACAATGAGGTGAAAGTCTTGGTAGCTAAGACTGCGGGTTCTTCACTCATCGACATCATGGAACATGGCACCATGCAAGGCAAGGAGGCCAGTCTGAAAGCTCTGAACAAGATCTCTTCATACGAGGTCAGTGCCAAGATCTTAGTCGGGTCGGGCATCCTCCCCCCGCTCATCAAGGACCTCTTCAGCGTCGGCACCAATGCCCCTCCCATGAGGCTAAAAGAAATCTCTGCAACTATTTTGGCAAATGTTGTCAACTCTGGTTGCGACTTCCATTCCGTCGTGGTGGGTCCTGGCAGCGGCGAGCATCGAACTTTGCTATCAGAAGACGTGGTCCATAACTTTCTCCACCTGATCAACAACACTGGACCCGCGATAGAGTGCAAGCTCCTACAGGTACTCGTGGGTCTCACCAATTCCCCCTCCACTGTGTCTAGTGTTGTTTCCACTGTTAAAAACTCTGGAGCTATTCTCAGTTTGGTTCAGTTCATTGAGGCTATCCAGAAGGATCTTAGGTTGGCTTCCATAAAACTTCTCCAGAATCTTTGCCCTCACATGGGTCAGGAGCTTGCCAGTTGCTTACGTGGCTCATCCAGCCAGCTCGGAAGCCTAATCAGGGTTATATCCGAGGGTTTCGGAACTATATCTGAAGAACAAGCGGCAGCTGTCGGGTTCTTAGCTGATCTCCCAGAGAGGGACAGCGGGATTACAAAGTTGATGTTTGATGAGAAACTCTTCCAGCTAGTCATAATGAGAATAGTCGGCATCAGGCAAGGAGAGACGAGAGGGTCCCGCTTCGTGACCCCCTATTTTGAAGGGCTTGTGAAGATTCTTGCAAGATTCACTTTTGTCGTGTCCACCGTTCCCGACATTCTCTCCCTTTGTAGGGAATACAACGTTGCTTCCCTTTTCATTGAACTTCTACAGACCAACGGCCTTGACTACGTCCAAATGGCATCTGCCTCGGCTTTGGAGAATCTATCCAAGGAATCTAAAAAGTTGACAAAACTGCCCGAGTTGCCCAAGCCCAGTTTTTTTGTAATGGTCTTCTTCCCTTGTTTGAGCAACAATCGTCCCTTGATGACCGGGCTCTGCGGGGTCCATCACGGGATGTGTTCGTTAAAAGAAACGTTCTGCCTCGTGGAAGGGCAGGCGGTTCAGAAGCTGGTTGCCCTTCTAGACCACATAAAGGAGGGAGTGGTTGAGGCATCACTCGCGGCCCTTTCAACACTTTTAGATGACGGGGTTGATGTTGACAAGGGGGTGGAGATGATATGTGAGGCTGAAGGGTTTGGGCCCATAGTAGCCGTGTTGCTTGAGAAGCGTACCGAGAACTTAAGGAGAAGAGCAGTATGGGCGGTTGAAAGACTTGTACGGACAGAGGAGTTGGCGTCTAGGGTTGCAGGTGACCCGAACACGACCACGGCTCTGGTGGATGCTTTTCAGCACGGCGACTTGATGACACGTCAGATTGCTGAGCGTGCCCTGAAACACATTGATAGGATCCCAAACTTCTCCAGCGTTTGCCAGAAAAATGCGCTCGAATGATCACCAAATGACTGTAATAGTGGCCTGTCATCTTGGCTTTTTTGTTCTGTCTATATCTTGTCTGTAATATCTTCTTATTTGGTCCATTTTGTACTCGCCAGAATTGCAGTACAAGCTATGAGTTCAAATGTATACGAGTCGATTAAACTCCAAAAATTTACGTATGAGCATAAGGACTTCGAGATAGGTGGTCTCAATGAATGTTAAGCGAACTGACTTTAATGTTCAAGTCATTTAAGCTTTTAAGATAGGATTTTAAACTTTTGATACAACAAACACATTTTTAAAGATGCATGTTTTCCAGGAGCATAAACACAGTTTATGATAATATTTTGAGATCATAAGTCATAACAGGTACACTAAAGCTACCCGCACGGGTAGCTCAGTTGGTTCAGTGGTGGGAAATTTGGACCAAGTGACCAAGGTTTGAAACCCGCAGCGGCCGTGTGGAGGTCACAGAACCTGAAATAAAGTTGGATCTCTGGTGCGCACGGGAAAATGCCTACTATCATTGGGCCGACTGAGTCACCGTGATTAACATCCTCCCAAAAATCTTGTCGGGTCGGGGTATGGGGGGCTCCTGGGGTGAGAGATTCCACCTTTTGGACCAAGGCACACTAAAGCTCAAATATTTTTGGATCAAGGTAATAAATCAATGGTGAGTTGGGGGTGACCACAAGCGTGTTACATGAATCATCAGAAATTGGGTGGACTAGTGATGGGCTTGGGTCGGGTCGGTCCCGGTTCTAGGCCAAGACTGTCGGCCCAAAAAAAATTGCTTGGGCCCGGGTCTGAATCGTTTCTTATTAGGTCTGGCCGGTATTGGGTACCGGGCTGGTCCGATCGTGGTTCTCGTAACTTTTTTTGGTTTTTTGGCTAGACAAACTCACAAAAGCTTAAAAATTTAAAAATAAACCAGGTTGGGACTGAAACTGGGACCTGAACCGCTTGATTTGGTCCCCAATACTATAAACCGGGATCGTGAATAGCTCTAGGGCAGACTGATCCGGTCTCAGGCTTGAAACCAATCTAAATGGACCCGGTCTGGTCCCAAATAGTGTCGGGCCTAGTTTCGAGTCGGACTAGGTCCATGCCTATGGTGGACATAATACATATATTTATTAATAATATAATGAACTATACGGAGTATATTGTAAAGAACATTAAAATAATGTAATATCATATTAATTATATTTATAACTATATAATTGCCATACTCCATCTGTCCTTTATAACTTTGTCACCTTTCTTTTTCCGAATGTTCCAAAAATTTTGCCACTTTTCATTTTAATAAATGAATTTGTGGTCCCAATTTTTCTCTACTTTGCACAAATCTTAACCATATATTTTTAACTTTATTATTTCTCATGGCAGTCAAACTTGACAAGGTTCTGAGGGACGAGGGGAGTACTATACTCCCTGCGTTCCTTTTTATTTAGCCAAATTTGACTTTTTAAGTCAATGATGTTAAACTTTGACTGATTATATATTTATACACGGTAATATTGATAATATGAAAATGATATTAAAATGTTCTTTGTTAAAAATATTATCATAAAAGTACAATTTTTTAAGTTTCACATTAATATATTAGTTAAAAGTCAATGATACCACAACAACCAAACCTTATTTTCAAAAGATTTTGAGGTCGGCTAACACGAATAGATCGGTGATATCAAAACCAAAGAGAGAAGAAAAATAAGAAGAACAAAAAGATAAAGTAAGATAAAATGGATAAGATAAAAATAAATACGGAGTATAAGATAAAACTATCATAAGAGCATAAGAAAGATAGAAGATACAAAGATCAAAGAGCATAAGAAAAGATAAAAGATACAAAGATCAAAGAGCATAAGAAAAGATAAAAGAAAAAAGTAACATAACTCATAAGAACAAAGAAAGATAGAGAAAATAAACAATAAAAGACAAAGAGAGGGAGAAAAGAGAAAAAAGAGATCAATCATCCACATAAATATGCTCTCCATTTCGCTCTCTCCAAAGTCATACTCTCATCTAATCCAAGAAGAAGCATATGAGTTTTCATTCCTCTAATCCAAATCTATTTGGGTCTACCTCTCCCTCTTCTCCCCACATTTTCTTCCCACCTCTCAAATCATTTAGCAGGTAGGGGTGTGCATAAACCGGTCCAGACCGTATTTTAGACCTGAACCGAACCAGAATGGACCGGTTCAGAGTATATAGGTCTGGTCTCCAGTCCATTGAAAATTGGGATTCCGGGTTCCCTGTTATTAAAATTGGTTTGTATATAGCTGGACTTAGGGTATAGACACGTAGTATCCCAATACAATATGATATAGTTGTCATTGTTTCGTTTGCTTGTATCTTAGTTATTTATGAAGTACAAAGTATTTCATAATAGGTTCTACTAAAATACTATAAATTGGGTGTTTTCTTGGTAATCTTAGTTGCTATAAATTAAGAAGTAAGTAGTTATACTTAAAAAATTAGCAATACCAGATACTAGAATTTGAGAATTGATATTGTTTAATACTTACTTATTATTTGATATAAACAGGACTTGCACGAGTAAACTATTAATTTGTTGTATTTGCAACTGCTATGTGGCTTTAAGTTAACCGGTCCATTCAGGTCCGAAACCGGACCGGATCAGATAAAAGAAGTCTAGGTAGGTCTTGACTAATAATGAATTGGTCGGTCTTCGGGTCATAGTATTTGTGGATTCCAGTTCAAGTCCAAACTGGTTCTGATCCACACCCATATAATGTGGCTGCCTGGCTGGGGTTACCTTTGATTTCTGCACCCACATCCTCACAGTAAGACACTAATGATAAACCACCACAATAAGGGTTGATAGAGGAGTGACTTGATCGAAGAACCAGAACCCTGTAGCAAGGTTTTGGGCGATGAGGACTTGAGATATCAAGCCGTGATTGTAACATCCTGATCGTAGACCCAGTATTGTCCCCAGAAAACCAACACAATACTCACGTACAAGCACACATAGCTGTGGAATTCTTAGCAAATGATCTCTTTTAAAAGAAGGCGCACCTTGTTGATATAAGTAGTGCTTTAAATCCTTTTAAACTCTTCTTGGGTATTACTTGATCCTGAGCTCAAAGGTAGAGAATTTGTTGTTCGTGAGTGATAAGTTGAGTATGTAGATCATTATAGAACTGGCACCTCTAGGAAATATGCTAACTTTTGTAAGTAAGAACTCATACTCAACCCCTAACCTAGTATCTTATATTGAGAAAGATCATCTCAGGACATCACAGAACTTATGGCAATCCAAAGAATCTGCATCAACTTTAATTGCACTTAAGTAAGGATCCATATCATTGACTGATTTTCCTGCCTTTTCACATTAGTTAATAACCGTTTGAGTTTCATCGGATGAGCTATGCTGGTGGATATAAATCGAGATTCCAATCTTTCCCATGTTGGTGTAGATTTCTTAATTTCATGAATTTCCATTGGAATTTCCCAAGGGCTAAGAGAAGCAAATAACAAGGAACACATAGTTAGATCAAGTATAAACTGGTGGTAATACTTTGAGTTTAAAATTTCCCATTGTTAAAGATCAATTGAGTACAACTGTGGAGAACGATTCGTGCCATCAACGAACCCAAGTGAGCCGTGAGAGACCATGAATGATTCGAATTGAGTAATCTAAAAAAGATAATTTTATATGGGTGAAAACTTGGTGGTGAAAATATTGATCCTAAGTCACATGGTAACACCGTAACTGGTGCACTAAGGCTCCACTTCAAAAACATAACTCTTCATACCATCTCAAAGTAATTATTGGGCCTAAGTTGATACAATGGTGACTTTGACTTTTATAATAATAGAAATAATACAAATCACACAGCATATATTATTCTACAACAACAATAATAATAATGATAATAAAAATAATAATAATAATAATAATAATAATAACAATAACAATAACAATAAGAATAAGAAGAGTAAGAGTAAGAATAATAATAAGAAGAAGAATAATAATAATACTAATAATAGTAATAGTAGTAATAATAATAATAATAATAGTAATAATAATCATAATAATCATGATGATGATGATATTATTAGTAATAATAATAATATTAGTAGCAGCAGCAACAACAACCACAAGAATTGGTTAAAGTGCAACACATTTAACCAAATACGGCAAACATATAATCTTTGTGAAGCAAAGGGTATATGAAACCATCTTAAAAGCTACTGGTCAATGTGCGAACTGCGAAACCAAAGAAAATATAAATTACATTTCCCGTGGAGACAAACAAATACAAGAGATACATGAATGCAAATTCATTGTAATTTAGACACAAGCACAGCTCCTTACAAAATAACAAAGAAAAACAGGGAGAGGATCTAACACGCCATGTCATATTCGTGGTTTATGTGTACTGTGAGGACTCGTGCGTGTGTGCGTGTGAAATGATCATAATGATGCTTCATCACAAATGCAGAACCGCCATGGATTTTGTCATGCATGAAGCTGCATCAAGTTCACGAGCCACATGATGATTCCTCGAGACGTGTACCCATTTGGTTTGAGTTGCAGATACATGACACACGGTTGAGAAGTCCATAACATGTCCGAACATTTTGAACATCTCAACCCCAAATATCATATTCTTATCCGAAGCAAATACTGCATTCCAATCCATGGGTGCGTCAGGATGAATACAGACCTCTTTCCAAGTAAGGCTTGTTAAGTCAAGCTCCCACAGCTTCCTAACTGCTTTGTTTCTTCTCCCTATTTGACCCTCCCCCTCACACCACGAGACCGAGAGCAGCAAAAGCCGCTCACCACAGGAAATAAGCTTAGGACGATACTCGTGAACATGGGTAGGGGACGGGTTGGTTTGGATCCTGAGCCAGTAGCCTGTTTCTATGTCAAAGGCCGCAAGGTTATCTGTTTCTGAGTAAACATAAAACATGCCTTTACAGACAACGCCAGAACAGACGGTCCCAAAATCAACTGGTAGCCTCTGGATTTCTGTCCATTTGTTTGAAACGGAATCATAAATTTCTCCAGAATCTAACGGCTCGTCCCAAGATCCAAGCCCACCAACCGCTATCAGTATGAACCTTCTAACACATTTATTAGCCCGTTCACTTTTTTGCTTTATAGACTTGTATGGAGGCAAGAAAGAGACCTCGTTCTCATCCGGAGACTGCCGCCTCACAGAAAGTCTATGAGGGTCTTCATACACCTCGGAAATGCCACCAACCCTTGACCGGTAGAATCTTCTCTCGGACCGGTTTCGTTGATTTCTAACAACAAGAGAGTCAAAACTGACCTCAAAGACCCCAAGAACAGGGGATGATCTTGCATGCTTCAAGGAAGATGCTTTCCGCCACGATTCAGTAACAGGGCTGAAAACAAGCACACTTTTGTGGGTTCTGTAAGAGCTCTTATCGACCTTCCCAAAGTTGGTCAAACTTGTACAGCCCCCAACAACATACACGTCGTCTCTCACACCGGCAACAGAGAACAGAAACCTTCCCTTCAGTATCTCAGCATCAATCTTGTGCCATTTGTTGACAGAGACATCCAACATGTGTATCTCTGAAGAGCAATTTCCATTTTTGACAAAACCAAAAAGGAAAAGCCACGGACTCTGAAACGGACCTTCCCGTCTCATCTTCCAGAACCGAGGTGTCGCTGTTAGGGTTTTCCATCTTTTGCAAACGAGCCGGGCGTTCATCAGACCGACTAGTGGAAGTCTCACCAAACACATTTCTAGGATGTCATCCGGTAGGAAGTAGTTATTCAAATTTCCAGTTTCACATTTCACCTTTCTGTTGTTATTACTCTTGTTTTTTCTCAAGAGCTTCTCCCACACTCCATAAGGGTACACTTGCATCCTGTAAAACATTAGGTATGCGAAGAAACAAAAAAGATGAGGACAGTTCTTTTTTCGTTCACTTTTCCCCTTAGAGAAAACAATAAATATGATTAAATTACTTCAAAATTACATATAATAATTTAATTCACGTTTACTCAGAAAAAACTAGATCTATCTTTTAAGGGCTGTACAGGGCTATTTTACGCTTATTCAGAAAAAAATCTAAAATAACAACGGATTTGAATGAATCTATCTTTCATTTTCTCTCAAATTTGTTTCCTTTTCTACTTTCCCGGTATCAATCAGTCGGACCCTAAGAGGAATAATTTTCCAGGGAATGGGACTTACCCTTTGGCATCAAGATCATCACTGGCATTAGAATGTCTTCTTCTACCCTGTGGATTCACGAGATCTTCATCAGTGTCATCAGCACCCACTCTGCAACCTCCGCCCCCCCTTCCATAGAGACTGACTAGACAACTGATGGAAACACCCCTAGCTTTCTCGTCTTCGTCTCCAGTTTTCTTTTTCAACTTCTGGCTCATGCATCTGAGCAGCTGCTTTGACATACTCGAGCATTCCAAGTCATCCCGTTCAAGAGATTCTTCTCCACACATCATGTTGAACTCAATAATGAAAGAAAATAAATATCACATTTCCTGCATTCAGATCAACAACCTTCGTTATCGGCGTGCAAGCTTCTTTATCAACCTCATGAGCACATAGCAGGAGACTTGGCTCTTACTTGGGTGGGGGTTTTGAGTTATCCCCACCCCCCCACCCCCCGTCCCATAAAATAGTCATGTTTGATCGAAGTAATCTATGATTTATCATGTAAATTGCGAAATTACACAAAGAATCATAGACTCCTTGAAATTCATCTCCAAAGAAAATAAAGTATCGATTTTCCAGCATTCAAATCAACAGCATTCTTGATTGGCTCGCAAGCTACTTTATTAACCTCTTGAGCACATAGCAGGAGATTTAGCCCTTCTCGACTGGGGTTTTTGAGTCCCCCCATATTAATCTATGAATTAACATGTAATTTGCCAAAAAAGTACACAAAAAGAGTCATAGACTCCTTGAAATTCATCTTGCCAAAATTTAAGCAGTTGTACATTGATCAAACAAGTAGTTTTTTATCTGGGGCGGAGTTGGTCTATATTCTATTACTATACTTTTACGTACATTACCTGGTTGGAAAGAGTAAAGATAAACACAATATAAAAGTACATGATTGAAGTAATGCGGAGTATATAGTTATTTTCCAAATCAATTGGCAATCCCCGCCTCGCCTCCCCTACAATAATCTCATGTCCAAATAAGCTCTTGAGCGCTGCTGATCCTACAGTAATCTTACTTCAGGCGGAAACTAAAAAGCTATCGTGTATGTAATGATGTCTACAGTCAATGATTTTGCCTATCTTCGTGAGTTTTGTACAATATAATTAATACTACGTAGTAAGAAGGGTCCTCTAGCTGGAAACAAGCCAAGATTGGATTTTTATAAATGATCAACAAAGAAATCAGAAAATACGCAACCTGGTATTTTTTTCTTTGCTTTTACAGTTTACAGACTGATTTAAATCTCAACATATCCCAAGATTGCAAATTAAGGATAAACCAACAATTGAGGAAACGGAAGATCACGAGAAATATCACATACCAAGATTGCAAATTATCCCAAATACTAAAAAGAAAGCATCCAAAGCTCCAGCAAGGAAGAATTGATCACAAATCAAGAACCACTTAGTAAAAAGAGAAGAACAGAAGTTGCAGATCTCATTCCCGTATTGAACTGCGGAAAAATGAACCCCTTTGGGTTTGGATTCGAGCAGAAGATCCAAATGTTCAGCAGAAATGAATGTGACACCACACACACACACATATATATAGATTAGGGATCAAATACAAACTAGGCTTAACTTACTAACCTACAAACTAATCCTATTCATTCGTTTGATTAAGATTACCGTCCGTTTCTATTTTGATTTCTCACAACCAACTAATTGAGAATGAGGGTGATTTGGTCAATCACTTAAATTTATAAAGGCACAAAAATCGTGTTCGTTACTTTCCATTTTGAACCGCCTACTTTTCGTTTTTCTTTCATTCAAATTTTCTGATCGATCTGGTATTCATCTCTGCGCTTTTCTTTCTGGTAGGATTATTACTTGCTGCTTTTAATCATCTTCCATCATTATCATCCCGCGCCATGGAATCAGGTATTCATATATCTTGATGAACTATGTTTTCATACCCAAAAAAAAAACTTCAGACGTCGGTCGTGTGCTTTGCTCTTGTGTCATGGTTGTGCATTTTTATTTTAATTGATTCGGACTAGAGGCTGATGTTATCATTTTTCTTCTCACAAATGATTTTTGTAATTGCTTTTGATAACGTTACCTCACTCCACGTAGTAGGCTTGTTAATGAATGTTATCTCGTTTCCTCACAAATTAATTTCATAATCACTTTCTATAGGATGAATAACCCTAGTTAAGTAGGGTGATTTCGCTGTTGCAGGTCTTGCAATCCTCTTCCTCGGTTTCACAGTTGCTACTGCATTGGATCCATGTTCATATATTTGTCCAATAACAAATAAACATTAAGCTATATATCGCTTCATATAAAATGAATTCATGTATTAAATAAAATATTTAACAACTAGTTTGCATTCAATAATCATATAAATAATTAATTTCAAAACAACCTACTTGCAATTCGACTGTACTTTTACATATCATCACTGCATCTTTTGTACTGTCCTGCTGCACCTACACCATCAATTCAGTATATGTATCTGTTTCTGTTGTATCTGCAAGGTGAAATATGTATCATGCATCTGTTTATGTTGTATGATGCATTAAGTGAAATTATATGTTTATTGTTGTTTAATATTAGTTTTCGTTTTTGTTTAATACTAGAGATCGTTTGTTGTTTATATATATGCGAATTGTGGTCTTCAAATCTCTCCTGGGGGTTCAAAGTGCTGGATTCCAGAATGTTCAACTGAAAAAAATCAGTTGTTTGTATGATATTTCCTAATCTAGATGTTGGTTTTAGTTTTCACAAAGAATATGCAGCTGCAGTGGGGTTTACTGTTCGTCATCATACATCAAAGAAGGGCATAGATGGTCACATAGTGATGAAATATATTATATGTAGTACAATTGGTTTTAAGAATAATGCATGTCGTGTTTTAGATACCACAATTGCTGGTTCTGAAGATTGCTCGAAAAATAGAAAACAAGTATCTAATAGTATTGAAGTTCCTAGTTCTAAAGATTGCTCGAAAAATAGGAAACAACTATCTAATAGGATTGAAGTTGCTGGTTCTGAAGATTGCTCCACAAATAGGAAACAAGTATCTAATAGGATTGAAGTTGTTGGTTCTGAAGATTGCTCCACAAATAGGAAACAAGTATCTAATAGGATTGGATGTAAAGCCCTGTACACATAAAACTTCATGCCTTTGCTCCTCACTCCAGGTCTCTGCACTTCATCACGCTGCATATGCATCCTGCTTCAAACCTGTTTCACCAAAGGCCCATCTGCTCCACATTTAATGACAGCATTTCAAATTACATTTATAGAATATCGTCAAATGCATCTTAAATGTAGAAAAGTGCAAGTGTGTAACCTTTTGACTTTTTCCTCGTCTCTTTTTTCTTTTTATTCTGTAGCATCTTACTATTTGATACACCTTCTTGTTTTCTTTTTCCTCCAAACACATGTTGCTCTTCTACATTTTCTATTACATAGATGTACATGTCAGGGCTTAGCTTTTCTCATCACATTAACAATTACTAAATACAAGTATACAAACTACCATTTCTTTCCATCAATGCTTATTGCAACTACAATTGTTGCACCAAACTTCTTCCACAGAAAATAGACACACACACATTCTTTAATGCCTTCATAAGGATGCATTGCATTTACATTATACTTGCATCTTTTAAGCAATCTTTATGCATATATCATCCTCACTAACACAAGTGCATATTTTGGGTGTAAATGCATCTGCTATCATACAATCATGCATCATGTACCTTACAAATGTACTTCATGAAAGACCAAACACTTCAATAAGTTCAATTCATTAAAACTTCCATCATAAAAACAACTAAAATTAATTCAAAAACATGCATCTATTAGCTTTAACTACTGCATCTTATACCTAATAGTCATGCATCTACTTTCCTCCCTAGAACAACTTCATCTTACAGGTACACTTGTTGCTCTTCTGCATTTTCTATTACATAGATGTACATGTCAGGGTTTAGCTTTTCTCATCATATTAACAATTACTAAAAATTCAAACTACCATTTCTTTCCACCAATGCTTATTGCAACTACAACTGTTGTACCAAACTTCTTTCACAGAAACATGTTAAATGTACATTCATGTATAGTAGGCAAAAAAATATAAACTCACACACATTCATTAATGCTTTCATCAGGATGTATTGCAATTACATTATACTTGCATCTTTTAAGCAATCTGTATGCATATACCATCCTCACTAACACAAGTGCATATTTTGGGTGTAAATGCATCTACTATCATAAAATCATGCATCATGTACCTTACAAATGTACTTCATGAAAGACCAGACACTTCAACATAAGTTAAATTCATTAAAACTTCCATCACAAAAACAACTAAAATTAATTCAAAAACCTGCATCTATTAGCTTTAACTACTGCATCTTATACCTAATAGTCATGCATCTACTTTCCTCCCTAGAACAACTTCATCCTACAGGTACACTTGTTGCTCTTCTGCGTTTTCTATTACATAGATGTATATGTCAAGGTTTAGCTTTTCTCATCACATTAACAATTACTAAAAATTCAAACCACCATTTCTCTTTCCACCAATGCTTATTGCAACTACAAATGCTACACCAAACTTCTTTCACAGAAACATGTAAAATGTACATTCATGTTATAGTGTGCAAAAAACTATAGACTCACACACATTCATTAATGCTTTCATAAGGATGCATTGTAATTACGTTATACTTTCATCCTTTAAGTAATCTTTATGCATATACCATCCTCACTAACACAAGTGCATATTTGGGGTGTAAATGCATCTATTATCATACAATCATGCATCATGTACCTTATAAATGTACTATACCAACAACATAGTACACATATGACATTTTATAGTGAATTGATTTCAACCAGCTCAATGATTTCAAAATTTGTGGTAACCATATACTACTACCCTACAACATGCACTGCATACAACAAGTTACTGCATCATACAATGTATTCTCATGCACCTCATTACTAACATAATATCTAAAAAAACACAAATTGAATTACACACTCTATTGCATCTTTCTTCACAAATGCTTGCACCAAATAAGCCTCAACATTGCATGGCACTCTTAAGCAGACACATGCACTTTGTCAAGTTTGAAACGAATTTCATCGGTCACCACCCTCAAGCTTCCTGCGATTTTCCCTCTTCGTATAATTTTCTTCTAGAAAAGTCATTGTTTATACTAATATTGGGCCTTGATTCTTCACAAGAAGTTTTATTCTAAAAGCCTTGCACAAGCCTACAAGTATCTTTACGATCAACTTCCACTGAGAATAGATTCTACAGCTTACCTTTTTTGGATTCCTTGTGCTTGGACGGTTAATTACATCATGAGATGGTTAGCGTAGAATCAAGGATTGTGTAATTTACTATTTCCTAATATAAGAAGCGAGGCTTGGAATTTATTTTGCAATTTTACTGTAGTAACCCTGGGAATAACCGATTCGGCGCAGTGGGAATGTATTATAGGATTTTGTGCATCGCAGCCTACATCTAATACTATGCACCACAGATAGATCACGCTCCATTTGTTGCAAACGAACAGCCCAGATTAGTTTGTAGTTTGCACCGGAAGAGGAGTTTGTATGTGATCTTCCCCCTATGTGTGTGTGTATATATATATATATATATATATATATATATATATATATATATATATATGTATAGAATAAGGATCAAATGAGAAGAGTCTTATCGTAAGAAGTGAGAATGCATCTGGTGCGTTCAATTTAAGATGTGTGCATCAGATTAGCAAAAAAGTACACGGGAAAGTGCAAAAATATTTAAAAAGTGATGCTAGATTGGAATGTAGGCGAATACTCCCTCCGTCCCGAATTGAATTGAAAACTTTGACCGGCACAAGGATTAATGAATATAAATAAATGATGTTTGCTTTTTACACTTTTGCTCATCTTGGTAAAAGTACATGGCTTTAAGTTGATGAAAAAAAGTAAGAGTAAGGGTAAATTTGTCACTTTATTCTTATTTACATACCTAAAATAGAAAGTGGAAAACCATTTTGGGACAACCTGATAGAGTATATCTAGAGAGAAGTGAGAGCTAGAGAGAGAAGTGCAATAATATGCTTCAATAGAATGATTTTGTAACCCCGATAACTATCTCCAGAGGAAGTATTTATAGGGAAAATACGGGCTGGGCTCCCAAGCCTTGGGCTTGGGAGGCCCATTTACAACTGGACCGCTACTGGGCCGAATACAAAGCCACTAATGGGTTGTACAAATGAGTAAGTGTAAAATCCGGTTCTGTGAGGTCTTCGTGGCCGACGAGGGCGTGGCCGACGAGGGCGCGGCCGACGAGGGCGCGGCCGACGAGGGCACCCGGGTTCCTTGGATTCAGGACCATATTCTGAGTTGGTACCTTTCCGGCCGACGGGGGTCCCTTGGCCGACGAGGGCACCACTCAGTGTTTTGTGCTTTCTGTTCTTCTGAGTATGTGGGTCCTGGGGATCAGAACCATATACTCCATCAGGAGTCCCCCACTCTCTAAGCTGAGACG